CGCATCAACAGTCCGAGGGTACTCTACAGCTATCGCAGCTTTTCACGTCCCTGTCGACGGGGCACTTCTGGGTGCACACCCATTAGTGCAGCGCTTTTTAGCAGGTGTGGACAGGATCCGACCGCCAGTCCGGCGGATCAGTCCCCCTTGGGACTTGTCAATCATTCTAGATTGGCTGTCCGGTCCTTCCTTTCGGGATCTGTCGTCTCTCTCTCTTCAGCTGTTGAGCTGGGAGACGGCGTTCCTTGTGGTGGTAACGTCCGGCAGACGGGTAGGCGACATTCGTGTTATGTCAGCCGATCCCAAAATAACTGTCTTCCATGGGGTCGATAAATATCACCGGGACAGTCAGTTTTCGTCTACCGGACTATTACCGTCCTAGGGTCGCACACGATTCCACGTGAACGGCTCCTATTGAGCTACCAGCTCTTTCACAGCCTTCCTCGTCGGGGACCACTGCAAGACATGCTCATGTCTTGGATGTCCGCACGACTCTCAAGGCCTATATCAGCAGAAATATGGGTGTCCGTAAGGATAACCAACTATTTTGCTGTTACTGCGGTAGGAAGGTTGGCTCACCTGCGAGTAAACAATCTATCTCGAGGTGGATAGTTTCAAACATTTGTACAGCGTATACGCTTACAGGCAGGGACCCCCCTACCAGGTTGAAGGCTCATTAGGTTAGAGCAGTGGCTGCGTCAAAAGCGTACGCCGCGGCTCTGCCCATTGAGCAGATCTGCTCCGCGGCTATTTGGAGCCAGCCGAGCACGATTCATCAAACCTTACCAACTCGACAAACACTCAAGCGAGCGTACTCGGTTTGGTCAGTCAGTTCTCCGAACTGGGCAAAGTTCTAATCTCTAGCTGATTGAGCATTCGAGATTTTAGACAGTCTTCCGGTTATACTGCTCAGTAATGGTCCGGATTTTATCTTCTGCGGTCGATAAATATCAGTCCTTACTACTCGATAATACTCGTATTTTGCGCACGCACTCCTTCGATCCTCGGGGACCCTCTGGCCTAGCTCAGCGCTGGTTATGGTCTCTCGTGATCTACGCCCTTATATCACTTGTTCAAAAAAGTGTGGGGGGGTGGGAGGTGTTTCGAGTTCTCAACTTATGACAAGCCGCAAAAACAGGCTTTATCATAATATATGGTCGACCACGCCCTGTCTCTAGCCCCCGCCTTTCGACGGTGGTGCCTCACGATAAGGTTGGTTCCATTTATTGAACTCAATATTTTATTCTGTTGAATAATCAAATACGATGTATTTATTTACGCCTGTTGCTGACGGATGCCACTTCCTAGATTATCTTTGGGAGTCTGTCTTGATGCAATAAGTGCCCCAAGGAGGATTTAATCAGAAAGAGAATTTTACAAACCTGTAGAGGTTATGAATTCTCTGATGAAATCCTCCTTGGGGCACGGCCACCCACCTCCCCACATTCCGTCAGCATTTGACATATGGAAAGTGATTTGGGTGAGAGTTGCTCCCCCTGGCGTGAGGCGCCGTTGGGGGTGAGGCCCCGTAAGGGTGGTCGTATATCATACAAAAACGAAGTTTTTTGTGTGGTAACATTTTTTATTAAGGAAAATGGTTACAACTATGTCATATAGATTTTCTTGAGCAAGGAAAATGCAATAAGTGCCCCAAGGAGGATTTCATCAGAGAATTCATAACCTCTACAGGTTTGTAAAAATTTATTCTCCAAGTTATCTCTAGTCAATAAATTGTTTTCTGTCATGTGTTTTGTTCATGTTGAAAGGAATCTGTTCATGAGATGTTTGCAAGATATATTTCATTGTTGGCTGCACACACTTAGATAATCTAGACTCCATGATTTAGAATAGGTCGTCAGTAGCCAAGTCCTGGCATAAGAAACCCTTGAAGATCCGGGTCAGAATTGGTCTTCAGCATCCCATGGTTGTCGTAAGAGGTGACTAACAGGATCGGATTATCAGACTCACTGACTAGGTTGATGCATGTCATCTCATCCCAATTTCTTGGATCAATACTCATGATGTCAATCACTGGATTGTCTCGTCCAGACTCAATTATTTACAGACCACCGCCATATATCAGGAATAAACTAACAAACTAACAATAACGTGGACAAAAGTGAATAATACCAGACCACAAAATTATTCAATCTGGTCCCCTAGTTGAGAAGGTGCCGATGTGTTCATGCCTAGGGTTTGTGGATCACTGCTCATGCTATTAGCCACTGGTTGTGTATAAACTGCTGTGATAGTCGCTTTCACTTCATTCACCTTCTGTTCTATAGCAGAATTCATGTGTTTGTTTGTTGTTTAACGACCGATCAACACTTTTCCAGCTCAGTAAATACTCAAACATAAATAAATAAACACAAGCATCGATCCATGCAATTGGATTTCGAAGGCATGTAAATCAACCAAGTCAGCAAGTCTGACCACCCAATCCATTTAGTCACCATGGCATGGGATGCCCAGTGGTCTAAGGCCAGCGTCGCGATTTGTTGTGGAGAGTTGCGTCCCTTGGGCACGCCAGAAACCTATGATTGTGGTTTCAAATCTCCTCGTCTCTTACGACAGGCATAGTCGCCTTTTATGGCAAGCATGGGTTGCTGAGGACCTATTCTACCCCGGATCTTCACGGGTCTGTGATTATAGAGGATCTCTGACAATAATCTCACAAAAAGAATGACAAACATTTTCGCAAGAAATTTATGAACAGCAGAAGCAGATCTTCAGAGAGACTAGTAGTCGAGTAAATTATTGTTAATATCACTATGGACCCGTGAAGATCTGGGGTGGAATAGGTCTTCAGCATCCCATGCTTGCTTAAAGGCGAACATGCTTGACTTAAACGGGGACTATGCTTGTAGTAAGAGACGACTAACAGGATCAGGTGGTCAGGCTCGCTGACTTGGTTGATGTATGTCATCGTATCTCAATTGCGTGGATCGATGCTCATAATGTCCATCACTGTTGATTATTCACATACTGCCGTCATATAGCAGGAATATTGCTGAGTGCGGCGTTAAACAACAAACAAACAAGCTAAATACAGGGGGGAGTAGGGTAGCCCAGTGGTTAAAATGTTTGGTCATCATGCCAGAGGCTTGGGTTTGATTCTCCACATGGGTATACAGTGTGATGACATTAAGGGGCTAAAACAAGGACTGGTCGGCTCGGAGTCAGTATACTGTGTCTGAGTGGGGTATTCATGTTAAACTGCGGCATGGTATCTCAGTGGGTTAGCACTATAAATCGGCATCAGTCCGGACTAGTAGAAGCAGCCACACAAACACACATACACGTGCATGCATGTCGCTAAATAAGTGCAATAATCTTGGACGCGACGTTAAACCCAGTTTCACCTCACCTTGTTGCTGGAATATTTCTGAAAGAGGCATACCATGATTCACAATAAACAATTCCAAATAGGGCTGACAGGAGACCTACATTTCATTGACGAATCATTGTTTGTAAAGTATCCATAAAAATACATTGCAACTTAATTCCTTCAATCCTCAGTTTGGTTGTGATTTGGTAGTGAATATTTATATCCGTGGTTCTACCTCGATTTATAAGGGAAACGACCCATTCTATTCTATTCTGTGGGGACACAGGTGGCCCAGTCTCACATGGTGTCCCAACCCGTGAAGATCCGGGGTAGAATAGGTCTTCAGCAACCCATACTTGCCGTAAAAGGCGACTATGCTTGTCGTAAGAGGCGACTGATGTCAATCACTGGATTGTCTGGTCCAGACTCAATTATTTACAGACCACCGTCATAAAACTGGAATATTGCTGAGTGCGGCGTTAAACAACAAACCAACCAATCTTTCTTCTACATTTCAGGTATATGATTGACTCAAGGTTTTCTCTACATTTTTGCTCTATGATTGACTCTTATTTGTCACTACAGTTTTAGCTTCATGATTGACAGACCGCCTCCGTGGTCTAGAGGTAGAGCGTCCGCCCGGAGAGCGGAAGGTCTGGGGTTTGATCCCCGTCCGCGTCATACCAAAAGATGTTAAAAGATGGTACTTGTTGTTAGCCTGTCTGGCGCTTGGCATTAAGGGGCTAAAACAAGGACTGGTCGGCTCGGAGTCAGTATACTGTGTCTGAGTGGGGTATTCATGTTAAACTGCGGCATGGTATCTCAGTGTGCTAGCACTATAAATCGGCATCAGTTTGGACTTGTACAAGCAGCCACACACGCACACACACGTGCATGCACGTTGCTATATAAGTGCAATAATCTTGGACGCGACGTTAAACCCAATTTCACCTTACCTCACCTCATGATTGACTCACATCTGTCTCTACATTTCAGATTTTGGATTGACTCACTTCTTTCTCTACATTTCAGATGTAGGATTGACTCACATCTTTCTCTACATTTTAGATGTAGGATTGACTCACATCTTTCTCTACATTTCAGATGTAGGATTGACACATCTTTCTCTATATTTTAGCTATGTGATTGACACATCTTTCTCTACATTTCAGATGTAGGATTGACTCACATTTTTCTCTGCATTTTAGATGTAAGATTGACTCACATCTTTCTCTACATTTAAGGTGTAGGATTGACTCACATCTTTCTCTACATTTCAGATGTAGGATTGACTCACATGTTTCTCTACATTTCAGATGTAGGATTGACACATCTTTCTCTACATTTTAGCTATGTGATTGACTCACATCTTTATACATTTCAGATGTAGGATTGACTCACATCTTTCTCCACATTTTAGCTATGTGATTGACTTACATCTTTCTCTTCATTTCAGATGTAGGATTGACTCACATCTTTCTCTACCTTTTAGCTATGTGATTGACTCACATCTTTCTCTACATTTCAGATGTAGGATTGACTCACATCTTTCTCTACATTTCAGATGTAAGATTGACTCACATCTTTCTCTACATTTTAGCTATGTCATTGACTCACATCTTTCTCTACATTTTTATTGTATGATTGACTCACATCCTTCTCTACATTTCAGGTTTGTTGTTGTGTGTGGAGACGGAGAGTTCATCATTTACACAGCCATGGCTCTGAGGAACAAGAGCTTCGGCTCGGCCCAGGAGTTTGTGTGGAGCAGCGACTCCTCCGTGTACGCCATCCGAGACGGCGGGACCAGCGTCAAGATCTTCAAGAACTTTAAGGAACAGAAATCCTTCAAGCCAGACTTTGGTGCAGAAGGTATGTATATCCAAGGCCTCATTTATTCAACGGCCTTCCCTCCACTGCAGGATGTCTTCTACGTCATCTCACACTGTGTTAGAAGTACCGTATTCGACATAATAAGCGCCCAGGGCGCTCTCAAAATTAGAAATAGTAGGCTCTTATTAGAATATTATTTTGGTGGAAAAAAAACAGATAAAGATAAATTTCGAATTTTATGCTGACAGCCTGAAATGTTTTTATACGAGAGATATATTTTTCCAGAATTTGATTGCCCATAATTAAGGGTACACACGAGTGCGTATTATATGCAAATAAATAAGTCTTGTGTACATTGATCAATCGGAAGGGGTGCTAATTGGGATTGTTCACTAGCCAATATATTAGAAAATATCGCTGTTGGCGCTTATTAGAGCGGGGCGCTTATTACGTTGAATACGGTAACTACTTTTGATGGTTTTGTCCATGGTAACATCCTGTTGTGGGCACAATTGTATTCTAATTCTCTTATTACATTTGAAAAATATTTTTGGGCAGGAAATCAGTCAATATCCCAGAAAGCATTTTTTTTCAAAATTCAGTGATTGGAGTCAGCTGTCTCTTGATATGAAGAGATTGTAGAATAATATTCTGATGTGCCAGATCTGGAATCGTTGTCCATATGTCTGCCATAAAACATTTGGAAAAATTAACTAAGGCCTTGATTGTTGTTACACTGATCAAACAAGTTCTGAGCAAGAGTCATACGGTGACCTTTATATTGGCAGGTATATTCGGTGGGTGCATGCTGGGAGTTCGGTCTGTCAGTGGCCTGGCCTTCTACGAGTGGGACAGCACCGAGCTCATCCGGAGGATCGAGATCACCCCCAGACATGTGAGTCAACTGCCAAACCCTACTTGTTCATAGGTGACCATAGTAGCTTACATACTAAACATACTTAAACAAAAGTCTATAATGCACGTGTAGCTGGGATCAGAGTCTTTACAGCCTTACCTTGTCAGCTTGCTTAAGGGGTTTCCAGGTGAGAATAGGTCCCCAGCAACCCATGCTGATAGTAATAGGTGACCAAATGGATCAGGCGCTCAGGCTCGGTGACTTGGTGGATTATATGTCATTGTTCCCTTATGGCTCGGGGGGCACGGGCGGCCCAGTCGTCTAAGACGCCACGATTCGCTATGCAGAGTTGCGTCCCTTGGGTACGCCAGAAACCTATGATTGTGGGTTCGAATCCCGGTTCGCCCCAATTGTGTTTCTAGGTTTGTCAGCACCATACCCATGCTCGTGGGTTTCACTGAAGTTGTAAACGCCTAAGACCTGCATCACTTCGGGCTTTCCTGCCACATTAAGCTGACACGCCGTGATATAACTGTAATACTGTTAAAAGCGGCGTTAAACCCAACTCACTCACTCACTCACTCACTCACCCCTTATGGCTTGATCATTGCTCACAATATCAATCACTGGATTGTCTGGTCCAGACTTGACTATTTACATGCTGGTGTCATATAGCTGGAATACTGCTGAGTGCTGCGTTAAAAGACAAACAAACAAACAAGAGGGTTAACATGTTTGGTAAGTCATTCATCCTCTGATTAGCATGAAGAGGTCCATGGTTTGAATTCCAGCACAAGATTTAATCAATACCTTGATCATAATACTTCCTATGAGAGTGTGAAATGGCATATATCAGTGTGCTTTTAGTGAGGACAAAAGTCCTAGTTCCTGTTAAGGGTTTAATTGATGAACTAACTGACCAATGAAAATTAGGAATCAATTAGGTCTTCAGGAACCCATGCTTGCTGTAAAAGGCGACTATGCTTGCCGTAAGAGGTGACTAACAGGATCTGGTGGTCAGGCTCGCTGACTTGGTTGATACATGTCATCGGATCCCAATTGAATCAATGCTCATGATGTCAGTCACTGGATTGTCTGGTCCAGACTCGATTATTTACAGACCGCCGTCATATAGATGGAATATTGCTGAGTGCGGCGTAAAACAACGGACAACAAGATGAATTAACTTGGCCTTTTGTGTTGCAGATATTCTGGAGTGAGAATGGAGAGTTGGTGTGTATCGCTACGGACGAGTCATTCTTCATCCTCAAGTTCAGCCAAGAGGCGGTGGAGCGAGCAAGGGACACGAAGGAAGGCATCAATGAGGATGGCATAGAGGAGGCCTTCGAGGTATGTTGTGTTATAACATGTGTCTGGGTAGAGTTGTGTCCCTTTTCATTACTATTAATTTGCTATTAATAAGTAGTAATATTTCTTTATTAAGTAATTCACCAACATATTGTATTCAATTTTGAATTTTTTTTATCCTGTAACCATGGTAACACACTGTTCGTATTGCCAGGTTATGGGTGAGATTGAGGAGACGGTGAAGACGGGGTTGTGGGTCGGCGATTGCTTCATCTACACCAATGGCGTCAACAGACTCAACTACTACGTCGGCGGAGAAATTGTCACTATCGCCCACTTAGACAGGTCAGTTCATGTCAGCAGTGGGGGGTGTTTGTGTCATTTCCTACATCATGCATGCAGCAGGAAGGGCCGACCTTGTGGCACTGAGCAGTAGTCGTGGTATATGGTTAATGTTGTAGTTATCTTGAATTGTAGCCTAGTGGTTGAAGTGTGAGCTTGTCACGCCGAAGACCTGGTTTCGATTCCCCACATGGTTTTGTTTGTTGTTTAAAGCCGCACTCAGCAATATTCCAGCTATGTGATGGCGGTCTGTAAATAATCGAGTCTGGACAGGACAATCCAGTGATTAATATCATGAGCAATGATCCACGCAATTGGGATCGATGACATGCATCAACCAAGTCAGCGATCCTGACCACCCGATCTCGTTAGTCGCCTTTTACGACAAGCATAGTCACCTTTTACGGCAAGCATGGGTTGCTGAAGATCAATTCTACCCCGGAATCTTCACGGGTCATCCCCACATGGGTACAGTGTGTGAAGACCATTTCTGGTGTCTCCTGCTGGAATATTTCTAAAAGCGGCGTAAAACAATACTCACTCACTCACTCACTCACTCACTCACTCACTCACTCACTCACTCACTCACTCACTCACTCACTCACTCACTCACTCACTCACTCACTCACTCACTCACTCACTCACTCACTCACTCACTCTGTGTTCCAGGGTGATGTACCTCCTGGGCTACATCCCCAAAGACAACCGTCTGTACCTGGGAGACAAGGAGCTGAACATCGTCAGTTTCTCCCTGCTTGTGTCCGTGCTGGAGTACCAGACGGCGGTGATGCGGCGCGACTTTGAGACAGCTGACAAGGTCCTGCCCACAGTGCCGCGAGAACAGAGAACCAGGGTCTCTCACTTCCTCGAAAAACAGGTGGGTTGTCTTCTTGTGTGACTAATAAATGTCAGATTTTTTTATACCTCCATTAAGACTCTTGCAATTCCATCCGTTAATCTGTATCGTGACGAAACAATACATTTGAATGTAGACCCCGAGTGTGACTGATACTGACCTTGAATATTGACTCATCACATGATCAGTATTGACCTATCATGTGATGAATATTGACTCGTCTGCTAGAAAATAAGATTGCGTCTGGTACAACATTTCATGGTTCTCAGCTAAGTTACTGTAATGAAACAGAGGATGGTTTATTTAACTTTCTAAACTTTAAAGTGTATTTCGGTATAACAAAAAGAATGATTACTCTTGACAAACAAAGAAACATCATTTACTCTAATGCTAGAAAAAATCTTAACCATATGGAGAAATCATGAGAATCTGAGAGACGTTGCTTTTGGAATCAACAGATTCAAGTGATTTCTCTGACTTAAACATGTTAAACCACGTTGATGTTGATGTGTAATTTCTCTATTATTTTGCACAATGACCTATAGTTGTGTCAGTTTAAAATGCACGTTCAGAATGGCCAGTGAATTCCTGTCTCAGAATCAACAAAAGAACAATAGCATGACATCGTCATAATGGTTTAACATAAGACCTTGCATACATGTTGATACGATTGTCCATTTTCCCCATGTTCATCAATGAGTAAATGAGCATCTTCAGGCTCATCTGTTACCATAGTAACCAGTTTGAGTTAACACTACCAGTGACCTGCAATTGCTTTGAATGAGTGAGTGAGTTGGGTTTAACACTGCTTTTAACAGTATTCCAGTTATATTGCGGTGTGTCAGCTTAATGTGGGAGGAAAGCCCGAAGTGATGCAGGTCTCAGACGTTTACCACTTCGGTGAAACCCACGAGCACGGGTATGGTGCAGACAATCTTAGAAACATAATCGGGGCGAACCGGGATTCGAACCCACAATCATAGGTTTCTGGTATGCCCAATGGAAGCAACTCTGCAAGCGGGGCCTTAGACGACTGGGCCACCCGTGCCCCCGCTTTGAATGAAGAGATGTCATGATGAATCACCGTGATCACTACGTGTCATGCAAGCTTCTATACTATTTCAGGGCTTCAAATCACAAGCTCTGGCAGTAACCTGTGACCCTGAACACAAGTTTGAGTTGGCCGTGGGTCTGGGAGACTTGAAGACGGCGTACACCCTCGCCAAGGAGATGGAGGTGAGAGGGTATCAGCGTGTTAAAACTGAAGCGCTTTTCATTGTCATGTCATTGTATACCTGCCTTAAAACCTACGATATCTCATGTCTGTCAGTGTATTCAGTCCTCTCTCATGTAACCATGGTAACCCTTGATTCAAACGAGGTCTCCTGTATCCCTGGATTCAAACCTTTGCTTGTGACAGTGATAACTCTTGATTTAAACTGTGCCTCTTGAAATCAAGGATTCAAACCTCGTCTCCTGTAACCATGGTGACCGTGTGTTCTTGTACCGCAGTCTGAGCAGAAGTGGAAGCAGCTGTCGGAGCTGGCCATCAGGAAGTGTGAGTTCGGGCTGGCCCAGGAGTGCCTCCACCAGGCCCAGGACTTCGGGGGACTGCTGCTTCTGGCCAGCTCCGCGGGCAACTCCGAGATGGTCGCGCGACTCGGGGAGACGGCAGCCAAGTCGGGACAGAACAATGTAGCTTTCTTGTCCTACTTTTCTTTAGGAAGGTGAGGAATTGGGGTGACAATAACTTTGGTTAGATAGATTGATGTAGAGTTTGTGTGATGTATGTTACATACCTGGCCGGGGCGGTCGGATAGAACAGTGGTTTAAGCGTTCACTCGTCACGCCGAAGACCCGGGTTCGATTCCCGACATGGGTGCAATTTGTGAAGCCCATTTCTGGTGTCCCCTGGCGTGATATTGCTGGAATATTGCTAAAAGCGGCGTAAAACCACACTCACTCACTCACTCACTACATAGTTGGCCATGACTGAGTCAACTGTAGTCTGTAGGTTTATGTTTTTTTGTTAATATGGTTGATGTGGACGGTGGAGATGGCGTAGCCTGCTGGTGTATGCTTGTTCTGCGTAAGTGGAAGGGTTTTGATTCCTCACAGGGGGTCAAACCAGATTTGTAATATCCAGAGTGCAGGCCCCAGCACCCAACGCTTGTTGCTGAGTTAATTAACATAAACACGAATAAACATTTTTGTCTTAATATACTACTCAAAACAAGTTAAGGATCACACCATTCTTTTATGACAGATTAGCTGAGCTAAAATAAGGGGGCACGGGTTGCCCAGTCGTCTAAGGCGCCGCGATTAGTTTTGCAGAGTTGCATCCCTTGGGTGCGCCAGAAACCTATAATTGTGGTTTCAAATCCCGGTTTGCCCCAATTATGTTTCTAAGTTTGTCATCACCATACCCGTGCTTGTGGGTTTCACTGAAGTGGTAAACGTCTGAGACCTGCATCACTTTCGGGCTTTCCTCCCACATTAAGCTGACACACCGCTATATAACTGGAATAGTGTTAAAAGTGGCGTTAAACCCAACCAAATGAACATGATGAAAGAATCAGGTTATTCTTAACTTTTTTTTAGATGTATATAAGTACTTCTGAGGAAGCAATATTTGAAATTAAATTGGGTTCTACAATGGTGTTATGGGGTTTGGTTTTAAGTTCCACACAGCCCAGTTCCACAAGGCAGTGGCAGCATTAAGACATCTTAACTCCCATACTTTACCTGACTTGGGACTGTCTTCAAATACAGTGTTCGAAATAAGGGATTCCTGGGATCCTTGAGGTCTTCTTGTATCTTATTTGAATCTAGGGGCCCCAGAAATTTATTCTGTTTAAATAGGGCTACAACAAGGACTTTCCGTGACTTTCATGTATATTTTCAAACACTGAAGCATGTCCTTTCCTTCAATTCCTCATTGAAATCGCTATCGCTAAACACAGATCTGAGGACATCCCATTACAGGTAACGGCAGAACGACCTTTCATCCAACCAATCAAAGCATCGCTTACCAGATCATGAAAGTGACAGTCGGAATGTTGTTTTCTAATCATGCATCCTTGAAAAAGTTAACATGGGGTATTCCGAACAATGGTTACGGCCCATACGACTGATTCCGTCAAAATGATCGTCTATCTCTCGCTTCCGTGGGATAAACATTTGAACGGAGGAGGCGTTGCACAGCACGTGGGAAGCACTGCCATACAATCTCAACCCTCTATTAGACATTCCGGATGTTCATTTGTTCAGTTTTCAAAATATTAATCAAGAACTGTGTCAACAGAATTTTTAAGTGTAGTCTGAAATGGAAGTTGCCAGGTTGAAACGAGTGCCGTAAAGCAAGCTGCTTTCTAATTGGATGATATCATCTTCTTGTTGGTCGCTTCAGTGGTCGGTCAAAATTCGCGAAAGGTCGTTCTGACATGACCCGTAATGGGATGTCCTCAGAGCTTTGTATAGTGGCAGTGAGAACTTAGATCTGATTTTAATGAGCGTAAGCTTCCCTGTAACCATGGTAACTGAATAGACTGTAAACCACCTTGTTTGTTGGAAGTGTTTTTCAATGGTTGTCCCAATGTTTTCTCCACAGACTTGAAGACTGTCTCGAGGTTCTGGTCTCAACTGGCAGGTTACCCGAGGCGGCGTTCTTTGCCCGAACATATCTCCCCAGTCAAGTGTCCCGGTCAGTATAGTTCTATAATCTTTCGGGGCGGTCGGGTAGCCTAGTGATTAAAGCTTTCGCTCATCACGCCAAAGACCTGGGTTCGATTCCCGACATGGGTACAATGTGTGAAGCCCATTTCTTGTGTCCCCCATCGTGATATTGCTTGAATATTGCTAAAAGCAGCGTAAAACCATACTCACTCACTCACTCTATAATCTTTGGCTGTAATTGGTCCAGTGTGAACATAGCATTTATCAAATGGTGGGGTAACCTGGTTGTTAAAACCAGATTGGGTTCCTAACATGGGTACAATGTATTTAGTCCATTTCTAGTGCCCCCTACTATGATATAACTAGAATATTGCTTAGAGTGGCGAAGACCCAAACACAAATGAACGAACAAATGAATGAAAATCTGGACACTTGCATATTTTTTCACAAGCATGATCAAGACTTGGTCTTTGTGTATCTCTCAGCATTGTGCATGTTTCCTGTTTACAGAGTTGTGGCGTTGTGGCGACAGAGCCTGGGAACTGTCAGCAAGAAGGCTGCGGATTCACTGGCTGACCCGACAGAGTACGAGAACCTCTTTCCCGGACTCAAGGAAGCCTTCAGGGCTGAACAGTTCATGCAGAGTCAGCGGAAACGTCTCCCCCCAGCTTCTGCATTATCTAGCGTTCCAGTAAGTTACCTTACCTTGCATGCCAGTAGGTCGACCTTACCTTGCATACCAGTAGGTCGACCTTACCTTGCATACCAGTAAGTTACCTTACCTTGCATACCAGTAAGTCAACCTCTCCTTGCATTCTCGTAAGTCAACCTCTCCTTGCATACTCGTAAGTCAACCTTACCTTGCATACCAGGTCAACCTTACCTTGCATACAGGTAAGTTACCTTACCTTGCATACCAGTAAGTCGAGCCTTACCTTGCATACCAGAAAGTCGACCTTTCCTTGCATACATACCAGCTAGTGAGCTTACCTTGCATACCAGTAAGTCAACCTTACCGTGCATACCAGAAAGTCAACCTTACTTTGCATACCAGTAAGTCGACCTTACCTTGCATATCAGTAAGTTACCTTACCTTCATACCAATATGTCACCCTTAGCATACCTTGTAAGTCAACCTTACAATGCATACTAAACATAGCAAAATATTTCCCCTAACGTCTGAACTAAAGGACTGAACATTTAATTATGTTTGGTATTCCCAGCATATCAGAAACATTTACTGGTATACCAGTAACTAAGCCTTCCCTGACATCCCAGTACTTGAAAGTGACTTGCCTGAGAAACTTTTACGGTTTTTGTTCAGCCCAACACAGAGAGGAACCCCCTGGAGGAGATGAGACAGGCAGAGGAGTCCGGGGACTTCGTGTACGCAGCGCCGATAGACGGGGAGGACACCTTCGAGGACTCTGAGGACCAGCCCCAGCACATAGAACAAACACGGAAGTCTGTGAGTGTACACATGTTGCCTTTCACAATTAATGTTCACAGATCATGAGGTGTGTCCTGTCATTTCTTCCACAGACACCTGCTCTTTGAGAGCATACCTGGGCTTTGAGAGCATACCTGTCGTTCCTTGCACAAACACCTGCTTTTTGAGAGCATACCTGTCATTCCTTGCACAAACACCTGCTCTTTGAGAGCGTCCCTGGGCTTTGAGAGCATACCTGTTGTTCCTTGCACAGACACCTGCTCTTTGAGAGCATACCTTTTGTTCCTTGCACAGACACCTGCTCTTTGAGAGCATACCTGTTGTTCCTTGTACAGACACCTGCTCTTTGAGAGCATACCTGTTGTTCCTTGCACAAACACCTGCTCTTTGAGAGCATACCTGTTGTTCCTTGCACAAACACCTGCTCTTTGAGAGCATACCTGTTGTTCCTTGCACAAACACCTGCTCGTCAAGAGCATACCTGTCATTCCTTGCACAATCACCTGCTGGTCAAGAGCATACCTGTCATTCCTTGCACAAACACATGCTCGTCAAGAGCATACCTGTCATTCCTTGCACAATCACCTGCTCCTCAAGAGCATACCTGTCATTCCTTGCACAAACACCTGCTCGTCAAGAGCATACCTGTCATTCCTTGCACAATCACCTGCTCGTCAAGAGCATACCTGTCGTTCCTTGCACAAACACCTGCTCTTTGAGAGCATACCTGTCGTTCCTTGCACAAACACCTGCTCGTCAAGAGCATACCTGTCATTCCTTGTACAATTACCTGCTCTTCAAGAGCATACCTGTCGTTCCTGGCACAAACACCTGCTCTTTGAGAGCATACCTGTCGTTCCTTGCACAAACACCTGCTCATCAAGAGCATACCTGTCATTCCTTGTACAATTACCTGCTCTTCAAGAGCATACCTGTCGTTCCTGGCACAAACACCTGCTCTTTGAGAGCATACCTGTCGTTCCTTGCACAAACACCTCCTCTTTGAGAGCATACCTGTCATTCCTTGCTCAAACACCTGCTCGTCAAGAGCTTTCCTGTAAAACCGCGCACAGACCCCTGGTCAACATACCCCAACATTTATTTTTTGATCATGTTAACAACCACTAATCCACATTCTTGATTACTGACTTCAGCATAAAACTACATTCACGCACTTCTTGATTTGTAATGTCTTCCTCTGTTGTTATCAAAAAGGTAAAATGTTACAGAAAATTATTCATGCTTTCCATTAGAATGCTGATATGATGTATGGATGTAATTGCGATTGTGTGACGTGTTTGTCTCTTGCAGGCCTCCTCACCCCCTCCTGTCAGCAAACCCACCCCTGAGGCTGCTGCCCCGTCCAAGCCCATCTCACAAACTGTAGCTGATCTAGAGAAGGAGCTGGAGCTAGACCTGGAGAATATCAAAATAGATGATAACATTGATACTTCTGTAAGTCCCTGTCCATTCTGACAGTATTATATGAACACAATTACTGCTCCTTCATGTTACTGTACTTGCTCAGTCAGCTAAAGCACTGCAGACCTCTGTGCAGAGTTGCATCCCTTTGTCGTGGAAGGATCTGCTGAACAGAGATTTAAATCCTGTGTACTTATTCTAGGGTTGGCAGACCATGGGTTTCATAGGGCCATGGTTAACAGCCTGCATCACATTGCTCTTTCATCCCCTCACCCGAACCATGTTCATGGATGGGGTATTGTTTTATCTTGTTGCACAGACTCGGACTTGTATGTATATACTGAACCAAAAAAGGTATGGATCATGAACGTTTTGGGGGGGGGGTTTTTAATTGAAAACTGAGCACACAATTTCATAAAAATATCTCCCCAAAACATTCATGACCCCTTATATTTGTTGTTCAGTATATACAGCTCAGATCGATACTAGGAAGAGAGGAAGAGTGAGTGAGTGAGTTGGGTTTAATGCCGCTTTTAACAGTATTCCAGTTATATCGCGGCATGTCAGCTTAATGTGGGAGGAAAACACCGAAGTGATGCAGGTCTCAGACGTTTACCAATTCGGTGAAACCCACGAGCACGGGTATGGTGCTGACAAACCTAGAAACATAATCGGGGCGAACTGGGATTCGAAACCAGAACAGAGGAAGAAGACCCAGGAGGCAGCAGAGGAAAGACCAGTTCTTGTCATTATCCACACAGCTTGGATTTTATAAATTTAGTTACCATGGTTACCTTACTGATTTAGTGTTTTTTATTCTAAAAACCTTTTTCTTTTCACGAAGGCTAAACTACATGTTGATTGTGTTATAGGATGTTTTGAATGATGATGATGATGATGTTGATGATGACGAAGCTGAGGTGCCGGTAAGATTTACAAAACGCCATTTACTTGCCAATTCCTTCACAGTGAAAAACTCATTGAAACTTAAAATTTGGCGGATTTATGAATGAAGCATCTTTCTTTTATTGTTCAAAAATATTCAATATATTCAGGTCAAGTGATCTATTTGAAATAGCAGTTTTAGTTTCAATTTTCCAAATGTATGTGTTTTGGAGTAATCAAGTAACAAATCAACAAATTGCAAATTTTTAGAAAGAAATGCAGGTCTAAAAGCAGTTGGTGGGATTAAGCTAGCACCATTGAGAGCAGTATCTCACAGGACATGTTCCACAAACCGATCTTAGCGCTAAGTTGGTCGTAACTCCCATACTTTATCATAGGCTTACGATCAACGTAGCACTAAGATCGCTTTGTGCTAGTGGGCCCTGGGCCCCGTTCCACAAAGGGATCTTAGCGCTACGACTATCGTAAGCCAGTGTTAAAGTATGGGAGTTACGATCACCTTAGCGCTAAGATCGCTTTGTGGAACAGGGCCCTGGACATGTTCTATGATTAAGGCTTATGGCGGAAGTGTTCATGTATCAGTTTTTGATTATAAGGTTTGTGAAAGATGAAGAGTTTTTGTGTTCAATGAGTTTTTCCCCCCACCCTCTAACATGGAATGGTCCGGCATCTGATTGTTGCAGTAGAGTAGACATTAACATGGTAGCTCTGTAGCTTCTAACAAGGGAGGAGATATCGGCACAGGTTTTCAATCTTCTTTGTGTCTTTTCAGTGTTTTGTCAGTGTTGGGATGGTGACTTTATGAGTGTTTTGTGTTTTGTTTTCTCAAATTAGCTTACTAGGCATATATATGTTAGGGGTGCTTTATGGTGTTTGGGGATGAATTTTCCTCTGAAAGGTTTATCTATTGTTTGTACATGTGAATTTCAGCTTTTCTGGAGGCTGATTGGTCAGTTGAACATGCAGTGATTTTGAGATGAATGGAACAAACACACTTTCATTATTTTACCAACTTTTCACAGAGTATTCTTCTATATCATTACCAATTTTGGGGAAATTCTTTTGGAGATTTTGGATGACAGTCAGTCAGTGTCCTAGAAAATGAACCGATTTGAACATGATGACAGTATGACGTCACACTACTATATCATGAACGGAATGAAATGACTGCATCCTTTATTCAAAATGTCTCAAATTGATAATCTTGCGCCATCAATAGATTGTTGTTGGTGACTGTTTTTGTTTTTTTCGTTCGTGGTGTAGGATTACATAACATACATTTTCTTTCTAAAGATGACAATGGGAGGGGAGAAGCTCTGGTGGCTCAGTCATCTAAACCACCGCAATTCCCTAGGCAGAGTTGTGTCCCTTTGATGTGACAGAAACCTGTGACTAGATTCAAATCACAAATTTATCATAATTATAACCATACCCTTCTTCTGGGTTTCACCACAGTGTCAACAATATAAGACTTGCATCACTTCAGGCTTTTCTCTAACTTGAAGCTGACATGCTGTGATATAACTGAAATATTGTTTAAAGGGGCGTTACAACATCTCACCGACTAAGGTGACAATGGGTAAAATATATGGAATTATCTCCTCAGAATAATGAACAAACAATCTGTATTCCTTAAATCAAAAATGTTTAAGTTTCTGACAGTTGATATGAAAATTTGATTATGTGATATTGTGTTTCGAGGAGTGTTGGATAACTACCAGTATATTTTCATAGTGTAGTGGTTAAAGTGTTGGTCATCACAGCAAAGGACGAGGTTTAGTTCTGCACATGGTACAATGTGTGCCGTTTCTACAGTCCCATACCACCATGTTGCTGAAATGTTGCTAAAAGCTGCAGAAAACCCGACTCACTCACTTTGTGGAGATAAAACCACACTAGGTATCTATTCGCTATAGTAAGCGCTCTGCTCCAATAAGCACCCTCTTCAACTTCTAGACCAATAATGGGTAGGTCGGGTAGCCTAATGGTTAAAGCGTTCGCTCGTCACGCCGAAGACCTGGGTTCGATTCCCGACATGGGTACAATGTCTGAAGCCCACTTCTGATGTCCCCCGCAGTGATATTGCTGGAATATTGCTAAAAGCGGCGTAAAAACATACTCACTCACTCACTCACTCACTCTAGACCAATATTGTTAGTAATCTTTGTAAGTGCCCCTACAAAGACCGAAATGTACGTGACAGTCCATATGTTCTTCCTGTATATTGTAGATTCTTTTTACAGTAGAAGGGGTATGTAAATGCCCAGTCACTTTTATCAAAAAGCTTTTAGTTTCATCAACTAAATATAAGTAAGTGCACTGCTGCTCGATTTCTCAAAATATAGGTGGAATAGGTAGGTCTTCAGCAACCCATGCTTGCCGTAAAAGGCGACTATGTTTTTCGTAAGAGGCGACTAACGAGACCGGGTGGTCAAGCTCGTTGACTTGGTTGATGTATGTCATCATTTCCCAATTGCGTGGATCGATGCTCATGATGTCAATCACTGGATTGTCTGGTGCAGACACAATTATTTACAGACTGCTGTCATATAGCTGGAATATTGCTGAGTGCGGTGTTCAACAACAAACAAACAATGTTCTAAGTGTCCGTGGGGGCGGTCGGGTAGCCTAGTGGTTAAAGCATTCGCTCGTCACGCCTAAGACCCGTGTTCGATTCCCGACATGGGTACAATGTGTGAAGCCCATTTCTGGTGTCCCCCGCCGTGATATTGCTGGAATATTGCTAAAAGCGGCGTAAAACCATACTCACTCACTCACTCACTCTAAGTGTCCCTGACAATACAGCAACATTAGGTCAGCAACATTAGCCCAATTATCCGCATGAAGTGTCATAAAATCTCTTCCCCCCCCTCCCCTTCCCCCCTCCCAACCATTGTCAGACGCCCAAGAGATGCATGGATAGTTTGTCAGTTTGCTAGATGGGATGTGCATGATGAGTAATATTAGAGCAAACAGACTCTACATGTCAACTGATACCCACTGATACCCACTGATACCCACTGATGTTTGGGGCTGGTCCAGGAAGATTTCTCCAATTAGACACTCACATACTGCGCTGGGTAATAAAGCTTAGTGAGGCCTTGAAGCTACTTACAAATCACATGTAGGTTATAAACGTAAACCTTCTAGCTTATTGTAGAAAGTCTTGAACAGAAGGAAACTGTTTATATTTATTTGTGCGAAATGTTGTCAATGGGTGTGGGGGCAGGGGTGGCCCAGTCGTCTAAGGCGCCGCGATTGGCCGTGCAGAGTTGCATCCCTTGGGCACGCCAGAAACCTATGATTGTGGGTTCGAATCCCGGTTCGCCCCGATTATGTTTCTAGGTATGTCAGTACCATACCAGTGCTCGTGGGTTTCACTGAAGCGGTAAACGTCTGAGACCTGCATCGCTTTGGGCTTTCCTCCCACATTAAGCTGACACGCTGTGATATAACTGGAATACTGTTAAAAGCAGCGTTAAACACAACTCACTCACTCACTCACATACTGCGCTGGGTAATAAAGCTTAGTGAGGCCTTAAAGCTACTTACAAATCACCTGTAGGTTATAAACGTAAACCTTCTAGCTAATTGTAGAAAGTCTTGAACAGAAGGAAACTGTGTATATTTATTTGTGTGAAATGTTGTCAATGGGTGTTCTGAAATAGCATTACATGTGTGACTCACATGGGGAGTATGTGATGCCTTTCTACTGACACTAGCATGGGCCTGATTAGCAAAGTGATTAACAAAGTAGTGTGTAGCAGAATTGTGCTGAGAGTCATGCAGAGGGCAACATTTAGACCTGGGGTCAGTTCCACAAAGTGATCTTAACACTAAGATGGTCTAATTCTCATACTTTAACAGGGTAGCCTAGTGGTTAAACCGTTCACTCGTCACGCTGAAGACCCGGGTTCGACTCCCAACATGGTTACAATGTGTGAAGCCCATTTCTGGTGTCCCCCGCTGTGATATTGCTGGAATATTGCTAAAAGCAGCGTAAAATGAAACTCACTCACTCACCCATACTTTAACATAGGCATACAATAGTCGTGGCGCTAAGATCACTTTGTGGAACGGGAAACTGGACTAATAGTCTTTGGTATATTTTATAATTGAGCATGATGAGTGTCCCCTTCATTTATTTTTTTAAATAAAACAAAAACAATGTTTGATTACGTGTATGCGTGTGAACATGGTCAAGATTTAGTAATTTTATCAAAAGTGTTAATTCCAAATTTGTTTTGAAAATAATTATGACAGTAAAACAAGTACACATTTTCAAGTCATATCCTGAACTGATATCTGTAAAGGAGGTTTCACCTCTAACATTTATGTATTTCATGTTATTTGCCCCTGGAATTCATGACGAAGGAGAAAAACTGGTCTGGCCTTAACTTCTGGTGACTTTATAACTCAGACATTAACACGATCACTTCCTGGTCCGAATAAAGTCCCACCTCGCATGTGTCATGTGATTTACTGCACTTTTACACTTTAGTTGCTCATTATGGAGGGTGGGAAAGAATTAAAGATTTTAGATTTATAGAGTTGTGTCCCTTGGTTGTGCAAGGATCTGCTGGTTCATTCCCAGTTTCAAACTGATTCTGATCCTTGGTTTGTAAGCACCACACCTGTGCTGCTGGCTTTCATCAAAGTGGTGGGGGGCACGGGTAGCCCAGTCGTCTAAGGCGCCGTGATTCGCTGTGCAGAGTGGCGTCCCTTGGGCACGCCAGAAACCTATGATTGTGGGTTCGAATCCCAGTTCGCCCCGATTATGTTTCTAGGTTTGTCAGCACCATACCCGTGCTCGTGGGTTTCACCGAAGTGGTAAACGTCTTAGGCCTGCATCACTTCAGGCTTTCCTCCCACATTAAGCATGTTAAGCTGACATGTCGTGATATAATTGGAATAATGTTAAAAGCGGCGTTAAACCCATCTCACTCACTCACTCATCAAAGTGGTTAAGGTCTATGATTACGGATTTCCTGTTGCCAGTGATTTAATATTGTAAGTTCCAAGCATTGGGTGGATATAACACTATGTTAAATTATCACTGGTAACGTTTTGGCTATTTGGAGGAAACATATATATCGGTTACTGATCTGGTAACAATTGTTAGAGTAACACTAGAAGCTACTGGTAGAGACCATGAGATCTGTATAATGACCTCAATGATCAGGAATGAGGTCCACATTCTTGCAGGATGAAAGTGGAGCTGGTGACGGTAACAGGATCATGCAATGTGCTGGAGGTATCCTGGTCTACAGCAGTGGAAGCGTTCCCTCACATTTCACGTACAGCTGAATGGGTTGACTTACATCTGTTTTGTTTGTTTCAGGATGTGAATCTAGACGAAGATCTCGATCTTGAGGACGACTGATTCCGTGGGCAGTATCGGATGCCATCATCATCACTCGGAGATGTACATAGACACTGACATATTTGTACATTACACAGTTCATCTGTTGGGAAATATTGCTATTTATGAACTATCGCTTGTTATCCAAAGTACATGCCGTGATACGTGCTTTGAGTACATCATAGGTGTCAAAGAACATTAATTCGAACTATTTACACCTTGTAAGATACACGTGATAAGAGGAAACTTATAACTGAAGACTCCACACACGGATCAGTGCGTATGGAGCTGACAACCCAAGCTTCCTGTTCAGCTAGGTCTGCATTCCCATTTCCATCTGATCCTACCGGGTACCCATTCACTGCTGGGTAAACTGTCGTTTTGATCATATGATTATCTGAAGATTGTATAACGCATAGGTAGCTCCTGTTGCACTAAATGATAATGGCAAGTATTAAGTACTTGGAATAGTACATCTTCCCGAGGCAAGAGAGTTAACCGACTTTAAAAGTCCAGTTTTCCACCCTTGCCGAACTAGGCTGGAATTCCTGGGCTCGATCGTAGCGCCACCAGTGGCTATTACGAGTAATGTCCTTTCTATGCCTCTCCTAAAGACCAATCAGATTCAACCTCTCGTATCACTTGCATTTGCATCAAACAAAACGGTGGCGCCCAGTCAAGATGATCTGATCGATAATCAAGATCAAACAAGTCTTACATTGCGAAGTTCATCAAATCACGTGAGCACCTTGATTAAAAACATGAAAAGATAAAGAAAATATCTGTTGACAACAAGTTAGCGGTGCACATGCTTTGCAAATCCTGCAGTCGACCGAAATCTGCATGACACTTTACGAACCGGATTTCGATTTCGGTGCGCGATTTTGATTGGACTCGTTAGTCCAGCCAAAATCTAACTCCATTATACCAGCCTAGTTCGGCAAGGGTGGAAACTGGACTTTTATAGTCAGTAAACTCTCTTGCCTCGGGAAGATGGGAATAGTACTGCAGCCAATACTCCAAGCAAGGTGGGAATAATACCATGTTTATGTTCAGTCTGGTTCTCAGACATTAAATAAATCCTTGACTCGTTGAAGTATTAGTACCATTCATCCAAAATGTCCATTTCTTTTTCTCAAATCTGAATTTGACTTTACTTTTTTGTCAAGAAGCATTTGTCGTATCTATCATATAGGTTCCGTAACATCGTCCACAATATCCACAGTTATGTAAGACTGATCAAATTTGTCAACATTTGATCATTTTTTTTGTATATCTCACAGTGAAAGAAGTGAATTGTTGAAGGTTTTTTCAGGGTGAAACTGGAGTAGTCTAAAGCTGCTGTATAACTGACTTTGTCTACCACTGTACAGGCTGTCTGTTGCAATCACTTGGGTCCACTCTCGTTGTACATAGGGTATTATATGTTTGTTTGACACCAGAATATATGTATGAAATATGTGTCAAATACTTCCTTTTCACGTACTAGTGAATAAAATCTTATGTGAAATTTGGTTGTTTGTAATCATTTTGGTGAACTTCATAGATGCAATGACAGATTTCTTATTTTTATCTGTTTTGCATAGCTAATATTTCAGTCAATTATAGGTTTCTGACGTGCCCAAGGGACGCAACCCTGCACATCGAATTGCAATGCCTTAGATGATGGGGCACAAGGTACCTTCTAACAAGACGGTGATGTCTGTGGTCTGTGGGGCAATCTGTTTTTGACATGACATGTGTGCCACGTAATCCTGGTAGATATGTATGGGGTGTGTGTATGGGGGGAGGGGACGGGTAGCCTGGTGGTTAAAGTGTTCGCTTGTCACACCGAAGACCGGGTTCAATTCCTGACATGGGTACAATTTGCAAAGCCCATTTCTGGTGTCCCCCGTCGTGATATTGCTGGAATATTGCTAAAATCGGTGTAAGACCTCACTCACTCACTCACACTCACTCACTCACTCACTCACTCACTCACTCACTCACACTCACTCACTCACTCACTCACTCACTCTGTGAGACTGGTTGTTGCCAGTGTGTGTAACATGTGCTTGGGCCCGATTTAGGGCCGTTTGTGGGTTATGACCGGCCTCAGTAACCTTTTTTGCATCCTTCTCAGCACTCCGATGAGTGTTGACCCCTTGCTCGTGGCTTGGGCGCTTTTGTGAATCACTCACTCACTCATGTATTGGTAAATGTGAGATCCTACACATTGACAGTTTACAGGAGGTAGTTTACAACGTATCACAAGGATATCCTGAACATTTCACAATGGAATATACATACAGGATGTCCATGAACTCCGATGTGATTTATTTAATACTCCCATAGAGTAAAATCTGTGTTGCTTGCGATCATCCCTACTTGCAGTACTTATTTACGCATATATTTTGTCACATTTTCTTTTTTTTCAACATCTTCCTTTCGAATTATATCTCTTAATCCTTAATGCTTGCTAGATCTCTCTATTTATAATAACAGCTTTACGATAATATCCTAAACTGCTCAGTTGTACATGACAATAAGATGAGGAAAATCGATCTGTGCCGAAAAAGAATCGTATGTCCTAAAATATACATATATATTAAAATGCATACATGAATTTCAGTATAGGGAATTCCCTGAATTATCGATGACGTCGTTGGGACACCCCCATCTTATCTTACGTAACTTAAGATTTGTGTCGTAAGTAAGATAAAGTTGCGATATTTTTAAGACAGCTTCAAGAATAGCTCATATGGCAGTAGTAAGTTGCTAAGAATTGTCTTATCTAAGGCAGCTTCGTGAATATATCGGGAGAGGTATTAATATAAGCATTGTCTTGTTAACATATCCCAATTTTCAGCCGAAATAAAAATATGTTTAAAACCATTTGAACTTAACATGCATTAAATAAACATTAACGTTTCTGAACTTCATCACTTGGACTGTACATGGATATGAATATGTACATTTTAACATTTTTACATACATACATACATACATACATACGGGCTATAGCGAAAACGGCAGTCTGTTTCTAGGTAGCCTACATGGAGGATGTTTGTAAGGAAAATCATGGCACTCCCCTTTTTACCAGCAGCCGACATCACGAGGATGTTTAAATACAAATAGTTCAAATACAAATAGTTCAAATACAAATACCCACAATAAAAATGTTTTTATTATACATGAAGAACTCTATATATGAACATATGTACTTGTCTGTGAAAACAGGAAATACCATGTAAATACATCAAGTACGATGTAAATAAACCCTATATATTACTACAAAAATCGTTGTTATCGTTATTAAATATAGAGGTGCCGTTTTCGCCCGACACATAGTAGCCGTTTTCGCCAAATGCGGTGCCGTTTTCGCCTGCACCCCATACATACATACATACATACATACATACATACAAACGGTAATGCATTTGATGAGCAATACCCCTTTGTTCCCCTTGTATTTGCACCAAATCCCCTGTCAATAAACCGCGTGTGAGCCTTTTCCTTGCCCCTGTAACGCAAAGAAGAGTTTTCCTCCTAACTATCAAATCTGGCGCTGCCGGGCCGACACCCAAACAACATCCGTAACCGTTTTAGTGTTACTGTGTAATGATATTAATTTAGGTATATGTCCGTCACACCGAGTAGGACTATTGAGAAGAACATTCGTGCATAAGTTTGTTTATTTGACGCTGTAGACGTCAGCCGACTCCACCATTTACACACAACCACCAAACCAGAGTGGGGTTTATTGTGATTTAATAGCATCTGATTGACCAATCAGAATCGAGTAAATTCCAAATTCATGGTAGAATAGAGGATCTTCTGCTTTCGGTCGACTGCGGGATTTGCAAAGCCTGTGCACCGCTAACTCGTTGTCAACAGATATTTTCTAAATCTTTTCATGCTTTTAATCAAGGCGCTCACGTGATTTGATGCACTTCGCGATGTAAGACTCGTTTTATCACAATATAGATCTTGATTATCAATCAGATCGTCTTGGCTGGGCGCCACCGTTTTGTTTGAAGCAAATGCAAGTGATACGAGTGGTTGAATCTGATTGGTCAATAGGAGAGGCATAGAAAGGACATAACTCGTAATAGCCACTGGTGGCGCTACGATCGAGCCCAGTAATTCCAGCCTAGTTCGGCAAGGGTGGAAACTGGACTTTTAAAGTCAGTAAGCTCTCTTGCCTCGGGAAGATGGATGGCCCCAGATGTTTGCGAAAAGTGTACGCATGACCTGCCTATCGGCAGCATCCGCCACTCAAACAATCTGCATGAAAACGTAAGTGTGTGTTGCCTGAGGCCGCACAAAGTACTCCTACCATACGACGGCGGCCTGTAAACAAACCAGACAATCAAGTGATGGACCAGAAAAATTCAGCGACACGATAGCGCATTTACTTTGTTGAAAGTTGATCTGGGATAGAATGGATCTTCAGCAACCCATGCTTGCCGTAAAAGGCGACTATGCTTGTCGTAAGAGGCGACTAACGTCATCGGGTGGTCAGGCTCGCATACTTGGTTGATGCACGTCACCGTATTCCAATTGCGTGGATCGATGCGCATGATGTCAATCACTGGTTCAGACTCGATTATTTACAGACCACCGTGATATAGCATAGTCGCCTTTTACGGAAAGCATGGGTTGCTGAAGACCTATTCTACCCCGGATCTTCACAGGTCTTAACTTCTTTGAGTAGTATATAATGAAATAACCGTAAAGCCTATAACGCATCATAGCGAAGTTCACATGGTCTCAATTAAGCCTACGTATCATCCAAACAAAACAACGAATCATGTACCCAGTCGTCCAAGGCGCCGCAATTCGTTGTTCAGAATTGCGTCCCTTAGGCGTGACAGAACCCTATGACCATGGGTTCAAATCCCAGTTCGCCCAAATAATGTTTCTAGTTTTGTCAACAGCCGTGATCGCTCGGTTATCCTCCCACCTCAATCTGGCACGCCGTGGTATAATTACAAAAAAGTGTTCAAAGCGGCTTAAGCCCAACTCACACATTCGAGTTTCATTTACAAAGGTCATGTTCAAATGTGTTTCCACTAGGAATATTTTCTATCACAAACGTGTTGTTAGTTTGGACTAATGTTGGCAAACGAAAGGCACCATCATCCGTAACACGGGGTAAAAAAGTTGCGGTCGTTTGTTCCTATGTGCAACAGGCGCCATGTCACACGACATCTCTTGGGGCCATTTTATCAGCTTGGCGTAAACGTGGATCGAATCCTCGGATCACCCTGATTCTGATTGCCCCGTTTGTCAGCACCATACCCTCGGTCCTTGGTTTCACCGAAGTGGTAAACGTCTAAGATCTGAATCACTTCGAGTTTTCACCCACATTAGGCTCGGATGTAACTGAAATAATGTTCCAAGCGGCGTTAAACCTCACTCACTCACTCACTCACTCCCTCACTCACTCACTCACTCACTCTATTTCAAGTGTACTTGCCAGTGCATGACCACATGACAACAGTTTTTGACTAACTTCGTGTTCAGAGTCTACACTGTAAATATATGTATGTGAGGATACAGCATGCAGCAGGAAGGGCCGACCTTGGGGCACTGTGCAGTAGTCGTGGTAGT